GAAGTGCTAGAGGGCCCACATTAGCCATTTTAGCACCATAGATAAGGCACTGAGAAAAGCTAGAGGATTTTTTTAAAAAAAAATTCCTATCTGGGAACCATAGGGAAAAAAAAAGTGGTACCAGAGAGATTATTTTGGCCTTTTGGATGTCACTGAAAATAGAGGTAACAGAAAATAGATATAACTAGAAGAATTTTAATTAGCTATAAGGAGTGTCCTGACAGTTACAGTCTGTACATCCTGGAATGAGTTACTGAGGCATCGTATTTGGGTCCATCACATTCTGTTGCTCTCCTGGGGATTCCCGGAACATCCTGGTGTACAGCCAATCTGGTATATTCAGAGGAAGCAGATGGCAGTTGGGGGGGGGGGGGGGGGGGGGGGGGGGGGGGGGGGGGGCGGGGCGGGTAGCTGGGAATACTGCATGGTCATAGCTGACTAACCTATGGGCACATACTCAGAAGATTCCAAGGCCCCTAAAACTGCCTATAGGATAGTAAGCAAAATACCTTGTGGGAAGCTGCCTTCATATTAGAGGAAAGAAGAGAAGGAATAGGGCAAAGCTTCCTCACCCAAAACAAAACAAAAACCCACTTTGCACATAGTAGTTTCTAGAATGGAAATACAGTGATAATGATGGGCCCAAACTTAAGCTGAACTCCTCAGCAGGGAAAGTTTCCCCAGAGGGTGTCCTAAAATTTACAAAACTTACTGAGAGACCCTTCTAGGCCCAGTCAAGATCTCCTGTATCGTCTCCACACCAAACAAGGTCCCAGGCGCCTCATTCCATGAGTTTTTCTCGATAGGAGAAAGCACTGACAGGGACTGGGATTCTATGAACTGGCTTGGAACCTAAGTCATGCATGCATTGCTTGTGGACAATAATCACAGAGTTTTCTATAGTCAGGCCTTAAACACAATCCACAAGACTTGGCCAGACAGTAGCACTGACCTACTTTCCACCCCCACTGGGAATCAAGGGTTATCTTGCCCTTATTTGGATTTTATAAGGATGCAGGGCCAGGGATAGGGATCAGAAATCTCCAAAATCTTTCCAAAGCAACAGGCCAATTACTCTTACAGGCTAAAATAGCTAGCAGGGAAGGGACTGTGCACCGTCTAACCTTTCTGAGCAGAGAGGGGTGGAATGGTTGGTGAAAAGACTTAGAAAAACAACAAGGGCAGGTACACAGAAGCATCTGCTAAATGGAGGGCCACGAATATTGTCCCTCAAACCTTGTGGTTCAAAACATTTTAGGGCCAAAATGTAAGGGACAAGGGTTCAGGACTTATGGGGTCCAGTTGTAACTAGGCCTCTGTCTCTGGTCATCTCTAATACTTTTTTTCCTGTGTTGAGAATCCTACACCTCCCAAGTCTGCTAAAAATTATGATTACCACTGCACTAGATGGGGTTAAAAGGAAAAGGAGCTTCTTACATGGTCTGAAGTCAAGACTACCTTGATCACACAGACGTGCCAATAGTTCACTTTTATGGCCTCCTCTCTGGCCCTCTGAACCTCACTGCTCAAATGGCTCCTCCAAACCAACCCCACTCCACAGTTTTGCCCACTTTTTAGACTGAATTCCTGGTAAAGCCTCCTTCCCACCATCCTCACTGAGTTGGGGGCATGGAACTTCAGTTATGAACTCCAAATGTACAGCAGGAGGCAAGAGGAAGGTACACCTGCCCACCTGCTGCCACCCCACCGTGGTGAATCTTATCCCAGAGGCATGTCCTAACTCGACCCCGATTTTGAAAGTTCTGGAGGACCTGGATTTGAGAGAGGAGGGCAGGTACCCAGCCCTAAGTCCCCTTAGGAGCTGACCCTAGAAAAGTCAGAGTCTTAGCACCCAATCAACCTCCGTCCTCAGACTGGGAGGTGGGGGAGGTGGGAGTAGGGCAGGAGAGGCTCTGGGAAAATCCCCCTCCCAGAAATAGGTTGGCAAGTAGGGTAAGACCTGTGATCCTAAACAAGAGGCTCTTCCAGCAGCACCCCAGACCCCTCCCGGGGAAGATAAGCCAGAAGGGTGATGGGGACAGGGTTGGGAGATAGAGAGGCCAGGGCTCAGCCACCCCTGGCCGGGAGAACAAAAGCTGAGTTACAGCCGCCTCCGCTGCTGCCTGCTGCCGCGGGCCGAGCTCTTTGTGACACTTTGTTTGGGACGCAGAGAGGGAAGCACCCCCCATCCTCTCCCCTCCCCCTGCTTCCCCCGCTCCGCTCCCGGAGAGTTTGGGTTCCTTCCCCCTCCCCCACCAGCCCTACCTGGGCCGGGGGGCGCTCACCCACTCGGGCTCGCGGGTCTGCCGCCCCGCACACCCAGGCCCCTCGCGCCCTGCCTTCGGGCCCCTACAAAGACGCCCGCCACCCCCGCCCCCACAACCCCCGTTGGCCCTTTCCTTTTAGCGTCCGCTCCGCGGGCTCCCACACCTGGCCCCCCCTCCTTCGGGGCCCCCCTAGCTCTCCAGGCTTCCAAGGCCGCTACCCCCACCCCACCCCCCAGGAGCTCTGGGCGAAGTTTGCTTGGGGCCGAGCCGGCGCCCCT